ACAACAGAAAACAATCATACAGTCTATGTGCAATAACAGATGTTACACTAAACTCGCTTTCTGTCAAAACATTTAAATATTATAATCTACATGAAAGTACCATTAACAACTAGAAAACAATCATAAAGTCTATGTGCAATAACAGATGTTACATGTTAACTTTCTGTCAAAACATTTAGATATAAAAAAAATTATTATTCCTGAGTGGTGTTACACATTTATAAAATTCTTGAAATATGAATTTGTGTTACATATTTTGTTATAAATAACCTAATTAACATTTTGTTACAAGTAAATTAGTAATGTTTTATTTATTAGTATGCCGATTTAGTAAACAGTATTCTTCACCCTTTGCGGGACGTTTCATCTACTGGACCAGGAACAAGCTTCTACACTTCAGATCCAAAGACCTCTGGTGCTGGTTTTCCAAGAACAGGTGGGGTTTCTTCCACCATTAGAGGTGGACTGAATCAAGCAGAAGGACCTCTGCACTCCAGTCAAGCAGGATTATTGGCAAGGTAATTGATTGTTCGCTCGCACCATGGGAAACTTGGTGTGTGTGTAGGTTGCTTCTACATAGTTTCTGAGATTGTAGATTAAATTGTTTTAGTTAGATAGGTTTTGTAGAATTTCATCCATGCTACATTTACAAAATAAAATACATGTTAAAATTTTATCAATGAATTGAAAACTTGTCATAGATGCCAAAAGAAGTTAGAGCTATTTTTAGATTATTGATCTAGTTATCATGTTTAAGTTATAACTATCTTATGCATTGAAGACTTAGAATATTGTACATTTAAAAACTTAAAACCATCTCTACCATGTTTTTAGCTCTCGTACAAAGCTCTGATACAGATATTGTTGACAGTAAGAAGTTTTAATGGTTTACATAACATGTTAATTTCCTCGAAATATATTTAATTCTCAATTTGTCTTTTTGTAGTATACATCCTACCCAAACTCAAGTAGACGACTGTACCCTTCCACTCCACTCTAGTCAAGTCTTATCTCATGAAGTCCCTTTGGAGTTGACTGCTGTTAACATGAGTCTTAGCACAATGTACATGCATGAGGTGAGATTTTTAAGGTCATTAAAAGTTCACTGACAACATTATGTAAACCATTTTTTCTACCAAAATAGATGTATTTTGTCCAAGGAATGTTTGATATAATACTTAAAAAGAATGCTTTGTTTTTTTTCATACAGCTTCACTCTCGTACTTTACGACATAAAGGAATTACAGCCTCTAATATTCGAACAGTGTGGCAGCGCCCCCTTGTAGACATGCCAGAGATTTTGGAATCTCCACAGGAAGGTCAGTCAGAACAACAAGATGAAGAACAACCACTCTTGGTGGACACGCGTATAGTTAGGTAGATGTCATCATGCTTGTTCTTTCTAATTTAAAGTTTGCAATTTATAGAATGAATAGCCATTTTCTCTGTATATTTGCTTAGCAGATTAGATTACTTTTTATGTATTTTTCACTGTAAAATCACATAAACCTGGAATATAAAAGAACCATTACTATTATTTGATATGCATGTTACTTTTGCTATGATGTAAAGAACATCTAAGATTTTCTTTACAATTAATCTTTATCTGATGACATTATTGACTGAACATTTGTTGATGTTTCCCTTAAATTTAATTGCCAAGGGCAAGTAATTACTCTCAGTTAACACTTGTTTAGTAAACAGATTTACCCATAAGACTGTTAATTAATCTTTGCTGTCATAATATATGAACATTTAATATTTTAATAACTGCTGTAAGTGTGTAAATATTGTAATAGCTATCAATAGTTGTTTTTGGTGATTTTAAATGCAACTTTTAATTAGCACCAGAGAGTATTTTTTTTTACTTCAACAGAAAAATGAATAAGTCTGTGTTCTTCTAGAATATATATATATATATATGTAAGTTGTTAGTTTAAATCATCAAATATCAAACCTATCTAGCACTGAAAATGAATGTTGCTGATATAACATAACCTGTAAACCACTAAGTTATATGAATGTATCTAAGGTAATTATCAATAACTTCTGATCAAAGCAATCTGTCTACATAGATCTCAACAGAAAACTAACCCATCAATGAATACAGCTAACTTGATATACTGCTATAATTTTCAATTATTAGAATGCATTGCTTCATCATTGATACCCTTGTTGTTAACAGTATTTTTGGCATAATACCAGTAATATTTTACAAGGTTCAGCCAGCTTAGCAGATTCAGGTTACTTCAAAATCTATATGCACTAACAATGCAAAATAATCCTCATTAAAAGAGTGCATAATGAGAAGTAAGTGAAATATACAAGTGTGTGTGTGTGTATTAACTATTGTAACCAGTACTGTTAATGAATATAGCCTTTACGTCATTGTAGGTTATTATGTTAGGTTGTATGAAAGTTGCTAAAGAAATCATGTCTGTATATTTTATAGATTATCTTGGGTTGTTTGAATGCAGTTAAGGTAATCAGGCTTATAGATCTACTGTAGGTGGTTATCATGTATTTTGAATGTAGGTAAGGTAAACAGGCTTTTGTATCAACTGTAGGTGATTATCATGGGTTGTTTGAATGTAGGTAAGGTAACCAGGCTTGTGAATCAACATATCTTCCATCTGTGTTCTTTTTCAACACATATCTCAGTCAGGCTCAGCCGACTCCCATCCAGCTCCAAATCATGGAATGCATCCAGTCCGACTCTTACTCACCTCTCCTTCTCCTACTGCACAGATGGTTCTTTCCCTTTTGGGGATGTGGGCATCACTCGAATTGGAACGAGTGAACATGAGATACCTTCAGTGGTCTCTATGCGATCAGTATATTGTGAACATTAATTCACTGGATTTCCCAGTCTCCTTATTCAGGATCAACATATTCGATCTCGAGTGATGGTTAGATCGGAATAATACTACAATAGGTGTTCCTCTGCCACCACCTCGTCCACAGATTCATCTCTTCATGGATGCTTTGCTTTAGGGATGGGATGCATACCTCAACAGTCAGGAATTCCAGAGCCTATGAATGGACGATGAGGATTCCATACACAATATTTTACACCTTCTTGCTGCTTGGTGATGTCTCAAGGTCTGGACTTATTAATGGGAAATATCATCATGCTTCACCTCGACAATTCCACAGTAATGTCTTACATTTCCCATCAAGGGGGCACTTGGTTCAGATGTCTTTATTTTCGAACCTTGGATCTTCTTTATTGGGCTCACTCCCCTCATATCATCCTACTAGCTTGCCATTTTCTGGGGGGTAATCAGTTTGTTGGCAGATTAATTATCTAAATCCAGCTGGATTCTCCTGACAGAATGGATGCTGCCTTGCTTGGTTTTCCTTTGGATTTGCTCTTGGTTTGAAACACTGATGATTGATACCTTTGCCACTCATTGGAACACTCAATTGTTAGCATTTTGGTCTCCGGTACCTCACCCTTGGGCATTGGCAAAAGATGTATTCAGTTAGGACTGGACAGGATTGCACCTCTATGCTTACCACTGTTTCATATGATATCCAGAGTACTTGCTATGATTCGTTCAACCCCTTGTCAGATTTTGATGAGAGCACTGGATTGGCTGGCTCAACCCTCGTTTCCACTTCTGCAGCACCTTCAAGTGTACCCACCTCTTCCACTTCCTCTTTGGCCATCTCTTTTTAGGCGGCCACAGTTGATGTAGGTGGAGAATGTTACAAGACAGATATTGCAAAGGGCAATTAAATGGGGAATAAAAGACTGGAGCAAGCAAGAAAAAATCAGACCAATGCTTAGATGGGCAAAGGTAGGAAACCCTAGCAGTCGAAAGTAGCTGTAGTGTGAGAGGAAGTAAGTATTATTGGAAATACATTTTCGATTTAAGAAAATGTTAGCCTATAGAGCATCTAGGTGATTATCTTAGGTTATTTTATAGTGAATAGACTTGCAGAACATCTGGTTTGGTTGTTTGAATTCAGAAAGGATAACCAGATCTATGAATCATTGTAACTTGCACTTTATTTTTTTTTATTTTTGTAGGCTAAGAATAATAGGGCTAACAAACCACTGTAGCCAAACACCTTGATTTTAAAAATATAATTAGTTCTAATGCGAGATCTGCTGCACTGAATAAAATTATTTTGGTTTCTTCAAGTCTGGCAAGCTGTGTTACACTATGAAATGTTTTCCCCTTTTTTCTTTCTTTCCTGTATGAATGATGGATCACATATTTTAACTTGGATATTTTGATTATGTACAGTTTCCTGAAACGGTATGTGCAGGTCAATACACGTGTGTATATGTTTTCAGGTATACGTATAATAGTTTTAACCATCAGTTTGATTTTGTTTTTGTATTAGATCTTCCTGAAATGAATGATCTCTATTACTGAAATGGATATTATCTCAAACGATGGCAAGAGCAACATGAAATTGGTGTTTTTAGGTTAAACTAAGAATATAAATAATAGCAAAAAAAAACAAAATACAATCTTGATACCACATGCAGAATATTTAACGAATCGTACATTGATATATATATATATTTTATTTTTTTTGCATTTTTAAGAAAAATATAATCTGTGTATTATGGCTTGCTGAATTTTGTTGTAGATGACATGTACATGTATTGTGTGATTTTCTGAAGAAAAGAGTAATTTTTTACACTTAATCCACAATTTCTTTTTTGCACATTCTGTGTAATTTATCAAACCTTTTATCTTTGTTTATAATTTTAAAAGCTAAAACTGCAAGAAAGTTGTACATTTAAAAGAGAGAAAAGAAAAACATATAAATACCAACAAATTTTGTTACATGAGAATAAAACTCCATTGTTTATAATCCATGTTAAAATTTCCAACTATAGAAATGGGCACATTTGAGTTAACTATCATAATGACCCTGAGTCATCAGAAGCATAATCTTGACATTTCAAGTATCCAGTTGACAGATTTTTTTTATGATCACTTACAGTGAGTTTTTTTTCTAACCACCAACATGGTAGGTACATCACATGACCTTTCTTTCTCGTTGTAGTTGACTTTACAGTAAACTACTTGATAGGAAAATCAACGAAAAGGATGCATTTTTCAAGTATCTGCATAATGTATTATTTGGTCAATGCGAAGCACTTCCTATTACACTTGTAAACGAGCTGTTCATACAACACTGTTTGGTTTGTGATTTAACATATTTACATTAAAAATGGAATATCTAATTTTTAATGTATAGGAGGAATGTAATCCAAAACATAATACCTAATTAAGTAACTTTTAGCTTGCACTTAATTAGCTACAAAATTAAATAATAAGAGTTTAGATATTTCTCTCTAGACATGTAACTACTTTCAGTAGCACAAATAATAATTAGTGCCAAGGAAAACTGTACATAAGTCTTTTCTTCCTTATTAAATGTCATTGACTTTATTGGATTTCCATCTTTTTTGTATTCCAGTATCAAGTTGCTATCGATTTACATTTATGAATTATCACAAATTTGCAAAAAAACTATTCAAGCTGATAAGACAAGAGTACAAGCTATTTTTTCATTAACTGAACTGACTTGTTAATTTTATCATACTTTTAACACCAAGATGGCACTAACTACAAAATGTTGCCTTTTTTTTTAGGTTTTGGGTAAGTAAGTCTGAAGTAGCATTCTGTTTTAGTGTGACTAATTTATTCATGTTATTTTAATAGGTGAAATACCTTTTTTAAATTTTATGGGTGTTTTTAATCAGTAACTTTTTATTTAGAGAATTAACCTCAAACACACCCTCATGGGTATACCCATGTGTGAAAAGATTTTTGTTTTAGCTAGAATATTTATAGATTGTGAAATACCTTTTTTAAATTTTATGGGTGTTTTTAATCAGTAAATTTTTATTTAGGGAATTAACCTCAAACACACCCCCATGGGTATACCCATGTGTGAAAGGATTTTGTTTTTTTAGCTAGAATATTTATAGATTATCGTATTACACTGTTGTTTTTATCCACAAAGTTTTCATCTGCCAGGTAGTAAAACCTTTTAAAGTTTTTCAACCACATAAGTTCTAATGCAGTTCCATTTTTATCCTTTCCATTAAAGTACAGGTAGCTCATTGTGTAGCTTTGTGCATAATAAGCAAGAAAAAAACAAACTTTGCATCAGTAGAAGTTTGGTTCTGACATTATTAGCTGTTTGTGTCCAAAATAAGCACATTTCCTTCCTGAAAGAGCAGTATACTGACTGTTTCGTGATACTTGTATGATATCTAATTTTTAAAAAGTATATTATTTTAATGAAGGATTATTAGTAAATAGCACTAGATAAAAAAATCATAGCTTGTAGTTTATATTACATTTAATATAATGTAATAGATCATTGTAGTGTAAATAATATCAATGGGCCCTGTAGATCCAATAACCTATGCTTATGTAACTTACAATAGACCGAATATTTGTTATAAAAAGTTCCCTGGTGTCTCAGTGGTAAGTTTGAGGGCTTATAATGCTAAAAATCGAGTTTCGATACTTGTGGTTGGTAAAGCACTGCTAACCCATTGTATAGCTTTCTGCTTAACAATAAACAACCATTATGAAAACAACAGTTGTTCAGTAATGATATAAACTGTAATGTTGGAAATGAATACAAAACACGTGACCATTTAAACATGATAATAATTCTCTAAAGCTTCTAAGATTGATCATTACATTAAGGTTTGATAGACATGTTAACCTGTTGCTTTAAGCTCCTGCTCAGCCACAAATACAGTATACTAGGATATGAGTAAACCAGTTCAGATATTTCTATGAATTTAAGAGCCTGAATTGAATTGCATTTTTCATATTGTATCTACACTGGCTTTTTTTGGTGTTTTTTTTACAGTGTTTATAATTTTGATTGACTCTTTTTGAAACTAATATTTAAGAGATTTTAACATGCTCAGAAATGCTGATATCTCAGTGAACCTTTGAACACTAAATATTTATGAAGGTTATACATTTTGAAAATATTCAGCTATATTTAAAAAGATATTTAATTTACTTAACTTCATCCATACCAAGGATTTTGTCAGTATATTTCTAAAGTGAGACTTTAATACTTTGTCAAAGAGAGTTTCCGTGTGGATTGTCTGCTATCTTGCTATTCAAGTAATTCAAGTCAACATAAACTATATAAAGCAGAGAGGATTACGTGTTAAAAAGAAGAAAAAAAAATAGAATTTTTATATTAATCTACAAAATCGTTTACCCGTGAGGATAGGTTGACAGTAACGTTGCCTTGCGCATGCCTTATGGTGTTTATACTCCTGAATTTGTCCTTAAGCATACAGATTTAAATTTGAACCATGACAATTAGCAAAATATGTAATCTTTTTGTAAAGTAAAACTTCATTTGTACTTATAAATACAAATGACGTAGACAGATTGGATAATAGTGGGTTTTACACATTCACTACAGACTCAGAGGTATAATTTTTTTCTTATATCAAAAAAGCGGGTATTTTACCGACTAACTGCTTATTTCAGCTGGGAAAGTTGATAATTTTGTTGGAAAATAAATTGAAAGGGTTAAAAAATATTGGAATGTTACTTCAGTTACTATGCATTAGCTAAAGAATAACCTGTAAACATTTTTAGACTAAAAATCATGTTTATTTTTCTCATCTTTTGGTTTAATTACTTCACTATGTAGTGCATATTTTGTTTGGGAGAAAATACATGTTAACTTAGTGTTACTGCAGCATACATTATCTATGAGAGTAATTTAAAAAGTCTTAATTAAAATATTTTAACTATTTACCATTTTTGGTAAGTTTGGCTATGAAGGTATTAATTCATGATGTTAGGTAAGTTTTTTTTTTGCATGTTGGACAAGAAAATCAAGCATTACTGGAGTGGAATAGTGTAAGAATAGTATGTACTGGAGTAATATGATTTGGTTTAGTAGTGGCATGAACATTTTCTTATTGAATTTATTATTAATGAAAAGAAAGAGTTTGCTGTATACACTTTTGTATTTCTGCTAAGAAAGTCACAAAACATGAACTGCCTTAAAGACAGTGTGTAAACATGTAAAGTGTATATTCATATGTAAATATTTTATTAATTATAAATGCATACTCTGAGATAACACTGCTGTGTGATGGAATGTTTTTCTTCACTTTATATTCCTAGATTTTCTACAATGTGGTTTTTGTTTGCTCAAATTGTTGTTACTAGTAGAGTAGATTGTTCTTGAAATTAGCAAATGTTTCTAAGCAGCTTTCGGTCTGTTTTTTTTTTCACAGTGTTTTCAATGTATTATCCTTTTTGTGTGTATGAATTTTGTCAGTATTCCTGGGTTTCATCTAGAACTTTACAAGTAGGTCCTGGTAAATTTTGGCAAATTGTCTGTACTTATGAAGTATTGTTGATAATATAACATAGGAAATTACGTTATTAATTTCATAACAAAAAAATTAATACAGGTATTAACTCTAATGTTTATTGTACATTTAATGTTATTTAAACAAGGTTTACGTGGATGAAATCGTTTTGGCATTTTAACATATTTTGGTCTTTTTAAATACATGTTTCGATCTCTCACTCGTCATAAACATAAGTTACTGGCTGTTTCTCTTTGTAGTTTTTTTTTTCTTAATGAGGAAGATTTTTTAATCTTTGGCATTAATAATGCTGTGTGTAAAGAGCAAACTAATTTCCCAGTTATAAAACATAAAAAATGCCCAAAGTTTCATTAGTAGTTTTTTTAACTTATTGTACTAACAGGCCTGGGTCCAGTAAAAAAATTTTTATCATTTGCTTCTTAGTGCAAAATGTATAATATGGTGTTCTTTGTTACAGAGAAAATCAAACTACCCTTTTCGTTTTGTCCAAATATAAATATGCGGTCTGAAAATCAGTACTAAACAACAAGTATATGAATCATAATGAACATTCTGCATTCACCATTTATTTTATCAGAGTTTTTCTTTTTTGCATTGGTTCTAGCTCAGATTCAGTTATAGTCATTATTTTGGCATCCATATCTGTATCATTAAATCTACGAGTTAAGTGAAACTGGATCCAGGCCTCTTTATTAAATCATTAACAAAGAAAGACTATAAAATCAAAGTCTAAGTAAAATGATTTATTTTTCATTTTTTATATTAAAAAAGGCATCCAATAATATAAAAGGTGAAAAGTAAAGACCGTTTGTAGGAACAAGACAAGATGATAGAATCAGTCAGTGTGTAATTGTTATTTTGAATTTGAAAATTTTCTATCGAAATATTAACTCCCATATGAATGCAGTATATAAATAGATAATTTTCTTTAGAAATATATATGTATATGTGTGTGTAACTGTGAAGAATAAGGTTTGTAACTTATGACAATGCCCTCCGTGACGATGGATTAATGTTTCTAGCTTTTGTAGATTATACTGTAATTTATCAATAAAATCAAGTTTTCATCGTAAAGGACTTTGTCCATATTTTCTTACTTGTTTTATTTTTCATGAGACGGAACTATAGCAACGCTATTCACATTTTTCTTCTTGTGAAATCAGTTTCTCCAGCTTCTAAAAAAAAAAAATTATATATATATATATTTATCTATTATTTGCTGTTCTCATTAGGTAGACATCATTTTCAATTTTTGCTGTCCACAATACAGACCTTTTTGTTGATATAATTATTGGAATGATACATTTTGAGTATCCGAATGTTCCCAAAAAAGGTTAAACATCTAATACTGTACAGTAAAAGACAACTTGAAATTACTTCTGGTAATAGGATGCTAGTTACATTATTTATGATTATTCATTTGTACATAAGACATAGATAAGCAGTTTAATTAGTTCCTTGTTATTAAGTACTTAAAATAAAAGTTAAAGATCAATCCATGCCGTGCCTTTGAAAGCAAGTTATTTAAGGTCTGTGCTTTCAAATTCCGGTTTCAGGTGTGGCACGAGCGAATGCCAGTCCTTGGTAGGTTAACCCCCAGCTAACAATTGGTACCCATCATACAGCTGGGTAGACTAAAACAAGTGAGATAAAATGTTTTCCCCAAAGGCATAACAGCATGACGTGGGCAAGTCTCGAACACGTAATCATCGGATAACGAGTACAAAGCGCGAATTTAATTGCACTTGAAATAACACAATGAAATATTTTTCTATATCTTACAATTTTCAAAAAGTGTTTCACGAACGAATATTAGCAGACTGTATTTTGTTTTCTTGACGTACAAGAAAGCTTCTTCATCTACGATGATACGCAATGCAGGTGGATTTGTGATTTTGACTAAAAAATAAGCAATGACGTTATAAAAGGCTTTTGTACACAGCTGTCCGAGTGACAGTGATTATTAGAAAAAAATTAGCTATTTACATGTTTGCTATCATTGTGAAGTTTACAGTCAACTGTCAGTTATTGTCAAAAAACATATGCTTATCATAACGAGAATTCTCTCAAACATTCAAAATAGTAACACCTAATATGAAAAACAATCAATAGGGGAATAAACAGTGTATAATATTTCTAGGCATCATGAAAGAGTGAGATGTTTCAATGACCCAAAACTTGATTTTATAAACGGCATTGGGGGGGGGGGCAACTTTACGCTTAAACAACAACAATATAAGACTCGGCTTTAAAGAAAGTACACTATATGTTATGAATTTGGCATTACATTGTTTCTTCTGTGTTTACATCAGAATTGTTATTTGCAAATGTTAATATCCTACATCAATTCAGCTTTTAGCCTTGTGTGTAGGTTCAGCTAACTCATTTCACAGTTCTGGAGCTAGCAGGAATAAACTTGGTAAGCGGACTCGCAGGTGTCCTTGTCTATATGGCGCTAAAACTCCATTGGAAGGCTAGCTAGGCGTGATGAGGGTCTAAGATTAAGTTTTCAGGATCGTTAAAACAGAACCTGTCATTGGATTTTATGTTCTTGGACACCTCTCGGGATCCCAGGGGCGCCATGTTTGAAATTACATCCATGCTCCCACTAGAAAGTTTGTGAGACCAAACCTGGCACACGTGCTCTAGTGTCACGAGTGAATGCTCTTAAGTTGTTTATGTACAGATTCCAATTGGAGTAGCTATAGAAGTAATTGGGGATAATGAAAGATTTTGATCGTACGTTGTGTCCTCTTGTGAATCATGAGGAGAACCTTAGAATCCTGCAGCAGAGCGCATGTATTTTATGCCAGTATTTGATATTTTGAGATCAGAACTTTCGACCAGAAATATTGAGAAGTGATTTGATTAATGTTTTAAGATTAATTAACCTTTTCGCTGCTATTGGCATGTTTATGTCCCCCATTAGAAGTACCGCCGTGGGTACGTATATGGGACACACTATATAACTTTTATTTTACGCTTGAAAAGTCTGAGTTTGGAATATTGTACCAATATGAATTTACCTGTCTCAAATCTCGGATAATTAATGAAATGTTAAAACGTGTCTTTTTAGTTTTTATTGTGAGTTAAAAACCTAGTACTGGGAGAGATATTTACCTATAGAGATGGCGATGAAAGGATTAATTTAATTCAAATGTTGTTATTGCGTTTTAACTTATTTCAAGTTTGATAGCATCGATAAAAATGCAAAACTTTTAAATGTTTATCAGCAACCCCACCCTCTCCCCAAATCACACACAACTATCTATAAAACACGAAGGTATCAACTTATTTTTTTGAATAAAAAATTGAAATGATTAATTTGGTTATGTGTCTTAGCGGTGGTATTATACATATTTACCTTCTCGGGCTACGATTTAAAGGACTGTTTGGTCGGACATGAGCGAAGGTAAAATTACCTGGGTCAATGCGAAATACTCCTGTTTCAATGCTGGTGATATGTTCTATAGATTACTGTAAGTTACACCAATGTCCGAGTCTGTTTGAGACGGGCCGGTATGGCAAGGTGGTTAGGGCACTCGACTCATAATCTGAGTATAGCGAGTTCGTATCCCCGTCCTACCAAACATGCTCGCCCTTTCAGCCATGGGGGCGTTATAATGTGACGATCAATCCCACTATTCGCTGATAAAAGAGTGGGCGGTGACGACTAGCTGCTTTTCCCTCTAGTCTTACACTGCTAAATTAGGGACGGCTAGCGCAGATAGCCCTCGTGTAGCTTTGCGAGAAATTCAAAAAACAAACAAACAAACAATCTTACTTTCCAAGTTACTCCTTGTGTGTATATATAAGTGGAATTAATTAGGATCAATAGTTTGTAAACGATAACTATATACCGATAGAATATAACTTACAAAGTAAGATAAACACATCACTCCTCAATTTTATACGTAGCTGCAGTTAACTATATCCTATTTATAATATTTTAAGTACAGTAGTACTTAATAAGTGGGATCAACAAGAATTCCAAATAATTCACGCGCCGAAAAACCACCATATCGAATTCCTAAGCGAAAAACCGAGCATTCAAAGTATTGGTTACGATATATTATGTGCATATATACTAATAATATGCTAAAAAGGTCATTAATATTTATGGTATAATAATTAATTTTTTTCTAAAACTGCAGCTTTTTGGTCTACGACCAACCTACCTGACCACGTCAGCGGGACTAGCGCCTAGACAGCTCAGACTATCGCTACAAGATTTCTCCAGCTTACCTACTTGACTGGTCTGTGGGTATCTGTTTTTGATATTCCGATAAAAATCTATATATATATATACAGGTATAATATAAATTGTAAGCATATCATGCATCTATTTAAATATGTTTTCAACCCAACGTATGGCGCTACATATCGATGGATAGACACTTTCTAAAGGTAAAGTATATACTTCATACAGGTATAACATAAAACGTAAACAAAGAAGAGTATTAAAAAGTTATGAATTTTGAAATGAAGTAAAGATCCTGCTATAAAAAGTAATGAAACAAGAATTAAAACCACGATCACAAATGTATAAATATTAATCCCTACTTTGTCAGTTTTATATACTTATGAGTAGGCCCAAGTAAGAAT